GAAGGAACGTCCGGGGGAGCTCAGCTTCATACCCCCCGATGGGCGGTTTATCTTGGCTGGATATGAAGTGGATCTCCTTCCTATAGACCCCGACCTGGATGAGCCACCAAGTCATATGGAAAAGCTTTTCTTACCCGCTATTGTGGATATCCGTAAATCACTCGGATCATCTGGATCTGAATTTGAGGTTCGATTGACTTTGAACACAAATTTCCCGGGCCAAAGCTCATCCTCGCGGCCTGGAGCTACCCGAGGCGGATCCGGCACATCAACACCGTCATTCCTAGGTGGGAGTGGGAGCTCTGGGCCGGCACTTGAAGAGGTTGTCGTTAGCGTACCGATCTCAAAGTCCGTCCGCCATATCACGGACATGCAGGCCAGCCGTGGTGACGCTCAATTCTCTCCCACAACCGGGCTCCTCGAATGGCGAATTCCCACTGGCAAGGACGCCGGAACATTGACTGGCACCGCCACACTGCGTTGCAGCGTCTCAGGCTATCCATCCGCTGATGATGACCTTGATGACAGCGTTGAGGACGCTGACGAAGATGCCAATGCCAACCTCCTGCAAGGCTACTACGACGCTCCTACCTCCTACAACGATGCAACCGCCAGTACATCAAAGAAAACCCGATCCTCCGACCCCTCCAAGCGCAAAAAGAAGAAGAAGAAGTCCACAAAGAAATCATCCCGCTCCGCTGCCTTACTACCAGAAGACGCGGAAGAAGACCCCGTTGCAGCTGCAACTCCATCCCCAAATCCCTCCATACCTCACACCCCCACACCCCCTCCCCAATCACAATCTCAGCCTAACGCCCACCTCCCCGCATTCTTCGCCCCATCATCTACATCCCGCCCCACGCGCAGAACCAAAGCCCAGGTCAATGCAAGCCTAATGCCCAACTCGGCGGCTGTATCCTTCTCCGTGCGAGGCTGGCTTCCCTCTGGTATCAAAGTGGAAAGTCTCAATATCGACCAGCGTCGCAGTCGCGGCTTAGGCGAGAGCGTCAAGCCTTACAAGGGTGTCAAGTACCTGTGCGTGAGTAATCGCGGCGTGGAACGGCGCTGCTGAGAGCCTAATGTACTTGAGAACATTCCTTCTTCGGATGATCTAAGGCATTGTCTGGTTTGGATAGCGCATTCGATAATCACTGCATTAGACAGCATGAATGATGATATGAATGTTAGATCTGTCTATGTTTTTCAAGGTGTGTATTTCGATGTAATGCCGCGGCCTAGCGGATTTGTACAAAGCCTCCGTTCCCTATTGTGGGGAGCTCTAAGGCTCCAACGCCAATGCGATGATGTCTAAATAAACTACACGCTTGCCTACAGGGGTATGTAATACACTTCCACAACCAAAAAAAAAACACATAAATTTATTGAACGTATACATGGCTCGAAGATCCAAAAGAAATAACCCAATAGCGATTAAATCCAAAGCGTACATGGCAAATTATTTTACTGTAGAGAGATCCCAAATATTATCCACAAATGCTCATCCAAGTCGAAGGCCAACGCATCCATACCAAAATAAGGAGTGATCAGCGCCAAACCAATGGGGTAGACCCTACCTGGATTGGATGGGATAGTGTCGATCAAAACGGGTATCCAAGTTCAGGGGCAAGGGTTCACGTTCACAATTTCGATCGGCGTTCGAGGACCTGCAGGACGATGTAGGCAACTATTACGGGTTAGATTGTAATTTCCAAAAGGTTTGATAGGTCTGATATGCGGATTGAAGTGATTGGAATAGAGGGGAAACGCAATAGAATGAAAGGGGACAAGAGGTAAAGAAAGGTCAGATTCATTGGTATTCACAGATTATGAGTATTTCTTTCCTCGATTCCGGGTATGACAGTATGTTCAAGGAAAGGAGGTAAGATGGTGTGATAAGGAAAGGTATGATAACGAGAGACATCCTCGAACGGGATAGAACAGAATTAGGCCAATGCATGGGGTTGGGGGTATATAGCAGAGGCAGGGATTATGCGTCTTCATCGCCTGAAGCATATAAGCCACAGACGGGGGTTGGGGATCTTGGAATTCAATCCTCCTCTTCATCTGAAGGAGAAAAGTCTCCAGGACCAGACTAAACCCACCCACGAGACAGATTTGTGCAAGATGTGGAAAATATTCACATAAATGGCAAACGAAATGAAGAAAAATAGGGGGATTACTTACTGGCAGCAAGAACAGTAGCTCTGCCGGCTCCAGCCTTCGCACTGCCTCCACCGAGAGTGAGGATGCAGCGCAGCCAGCCGAGACTCAGCTTGTTGCCGTTGCGGTCGAAGTCGGGGTGCAGGGCGCTGGCAGCATTGAACTTGCTGATCTTGCCGGCGTACGGTGGGTACCGGATAGCCAGGATGGATTCCAGCCAGCCTGGGCTGGAGGTGATGGGGCGACGGTGCACCCAGACGTCGAAGCTGGAGCGGCCGCGGTAAGCACCGTAGCCACTCTCGCCGACACCGCCGAAGGGCAGGGTTGGAATGTGCAGCGCGGCATCGTTGCAGGAAACGCCGCCGGAGCGGGTGGAAGACACAACTAGGGGAGAGGGTTAGGATGGTTGTCTTTGCAGATTATCAGGTACAAGACTTACTCTTCTCGACATCGGCCTTGTTACCGAAGGGGTAGAGACCCAGCGGCGTGCTCTGGACACCATTGGCCAGGCTGATGGCCTCGTCGAGGTTCTCCACGGGCAAGATGGGGATGAAGGGACCGAAGCTCTCCTGCGAACACAGAGAGTCATCAACCGAGTCGACCTGGACAACGGTCGGCTCGATGAACAGCTCCTTCTCATCCATAGTGCCACCCATAAGGATCTGGCCCTTGGTGTTATCAAGCATGGACTTGAGACGGGCGAAGGAGGCCTCGTTGACGATGCGCGCGTAATCAGGCGAGCCCTTAGCACCCTGGGGGTAGAACTCCTTGTACGCGTTCTTGAACTCCTGTACGACCTCCGGAACGAGCGACTTGTCGACGAGCAGGTAGTTCTGTGAGGTACAGACCTGGCCGGCGTTCAGGAGCTTACCCCAGAGCATGCGGCGGGCGACGAGACGCGGGTTCGCGCTCTTGGACACGATGGCTGGGTTGATACCGCCAAGCTCGAGCACAACGGGGGTCATATGTTGTGCAGCGGCCTTGGCGATGATGCGTCCGACGGTGGCGCCGCCCGTGAAGAAGATCTTGTCCCATCGTTCGGCGAGCAAGGCTTGTGTCTCAGGGATACCACCCTGGATGATTGTGTAGCACGAGGGGTCGAGACTCGCCTCGATGATCTTCTGCATGAGAGCGGCACTGCGGGGAGCATTTTCGCTAGGCTTGATGACGACTGTGTTTCCGGCGGCGATGGCACCGATGGCGGGGCCGAGGGTCAACTGGAAGGGGAAGTTGAAGGCACTAGAGTAGAAAGAGCTTGTTAGCCTTCGGGGTATTCTTATGCGCATCGCCATCGTATCGCATCGCAAGGGAGGGGGAGGGGGAGACGTACCCAATGACCAGCACAGTACCCAGAGGATCCTTTCTGATCTTGGGGCTCATGAACTTGAACGCGAGATCGATATCGGAGGCCTTCTCATCCTTGGCCCATTTGCGCAGGTTGCGCGTTGTGAAGACGATGTCGTTCAGGATCCATCCGCTCTCTCCCAGGTTGGTCTCGAACCGAGGCTTGTTCAGATCCTGGGCGCAGGCCTCCATAATAGCCTCCTCATTGTCTTTGATGCTGGGAAAGTATTAATTAATTGACCGAAAAGACAAAAGAATTGAGTACTCACGCCCAGTACAGCTTGCGCAGCTGAACGAGGCGGAACTCCAAGTCGCGAGTCTTGTGCTCATAAAAGGCCTTGCGGGCTGTGGAGACACGCGCGGGAATCTCGTCCAGCGAAGTAGCTTTAAATTCAGGTAGGTCGACCATGATGAAAATAAATTAAGATAAATTAAGGTCAAGAAGATAGAGAGGAAAAAAGTGGGAAGTTGTTCACGGGTATATAAGTGTCTCCCCGCTCAATAAGATCTACAAGGGCCATTCCTGTTGTGAGTTACCTAGGCAATTTTAGCTCACCCCTATTAGTCCTAAGGCTCCGCACATGCTCCAAGCTCTCGGCTCATCCTGGTTTTGGCCTTTGACCCGGTTGACTTTCTCTCTTTTTTTTTTTTTTTTTTTTTTTTTTTGAATTGAAAGTAGGAATTCAAGATACATAGGTACATAGTAATATTTGGCTTTTTTCAATGTTACCTTGATATAGTTGTACAATATGTACAATATATATATATATATATATATGCACATATATAAAAGTTCATAACCGCGGCTTCACACGAACTGCCCCGCTTTCTGCAAGTGGAGACAGGTCACCTTTATATGTACCTATGGGAATTTATGTAGGTCTATTATTCCCTAGTTTTCAAATATAAGAGTTATAATGTAGCACAATTATGAACCTCTTTGGCTATGTAGATGCAAGTACATATTTTCGCTTGCAAAGCCCAGAGGCACAAATAATAGTGTACATGGAGGGTCATCGTGTGAAACAAGAAATATAACTCTTTCGTCGAGACACATATCTATACCCTAGCCCTCTTTCAATTATATATAAAGATGTCTATATTATTACTACAGCTATAATGTGCCAGCTAAAATCTTCTAGCGTTGATAACGGATCACATTATTGAGTTCTATATCTAAGCCTAGCCTTTCTATGATCGAGCGTGAGCGTATGTGGCGCTTTGTCATACACAAAACTAGTCCACTTTCGCAGCAGAGCCCTGTTGTTTCACAACTCTAGTCGGCAGTCGGTAGTCGGCATAGCGGCCTTCGTGACTGAGCCAGAAGTGGTCGAGACTTATAGCATTGTTTCGCGGCCAATCGCCCTGACCAATACATCTCCGTTAGGGGCTTGTGTAGAGTTGCATGATAACCTCGGCGACACGCATCTCGATCGTTAACCATTGAAAACAGCCGATGTCGTACTCTGAGCTCGACCTTTTTTGTTGTGCCTCTTTTACAAATCGTTGCGCATGAGATCGGCCCAGATAGCTGTCTGCTCTAATGGAGCCCCCTTCCACTTCCGGATCTTAGCTGGGCAAAGCTTGTTGTCTGCATTTGCATGATTGCCTTTGGTCGATGAGTGAGCCTTGGTTTGGTTGTATAGCTAGGTTAAGGAATAAGTGAACATGTCAAGCGTCAAGAAACTCGGGAAGGGTAGTTTCTTGAATTTGCTGTCGGATATATCAATTCTGGAGCGTTATTACGCTTAATTGTCGTTTGGCCTCGACCTCAGGTTGCTCAATTTCTGCCAGATATTGACATAAAGCCGATATCCCATGCTCCATTATTGACCACGTTCTTAGGATGAACACACTGTAAAGTAAGTTAATCGGGTGATTTATGTTAGTAAACAAGCCAGGTTGGAAGCACGATGCCCGATTTTACCTAGCCAATCATATCCACTGCTGTAAACTCGCATATGCACGTAACCGTCTAAGAATGGTCACGGGGTCATCCTACTGTGTGGCTATGTGGTGACATCAGTCGAGTGGCTGCCAATGGGCCATAGGCCTTAGGGGTGGCTATCATGGGCCTAGTGCTTAGGCCTAGTGCTTAGACTAAGTGCTTAGAAGTGCTTATTTTGTAGGTATGATCTGCATTCGGAACTCCGTCGGTCACAACCCCTCTTTGTATAGCACATGTATAGTGGGACCTCCAAAGTATTGGGTGTAGTTTTGTATTTCCATATATAAGGCAGTATGTGAGGCTACAAAAATATCCTCACTGCACATCATTTCACTACTTACTCCTTACATCTAGTATGTTCCTGAAAAATCACCCCAGAGCTCCGGGGATCCTTCGCTTACACATCGTTTGTAACTACTAGCGTCTGATTGGATTACGGTGGATTTGGTTTTGTCTCGCATGGATCGATTCCGTTTTAACCGGATAAACACCTTCCCTCCAAGTCAATATGCATAATAATATTCGTTAAACAATTTCAACAACAACAAGATATAGTCTCAAGATGCAGGAAAGTCGACTTCTATCAACTCAGCAATCTGAACTTGATGAACCAGACGATGAGGGCAAATGGTCTCCTGTTCAGCTTGCCGCTGCCCAAGGGAATGTTTGCCAAGTACAGCGGCTCTTAGCCCAACCAGTGGACCCTAATGAGCCCGCTAAAGGTTACTATGGGCAAACAGCCCTTCAAGCCGCCTCTAATAATGGACATCTCGCCGTGGTTGAGATGCTGTTAGCGGCAGGCGCAGACGTTAACGCTCCTGGAGGAAACAATGGTGGCAGATCAGCGGTAGTACTGGCCTCTGGAACGGGCTATCTGAACATCGTCAGATACTTAGTCTCTGCGGGTGCAGAGATCCACCGCCCATCCCATCCGTATATGGGCCGAACTGCCCTACAAGCCGCCGCGGAGGGGGCCATATCGAGTTACTACAATGGCTGCTCGAGCAAGGCGCAGATATCAATGCACCTGCCGCTAAGACACTAGGTCGCACCGCACTTCAAGCTGCTGCATTGAACGGTCACGCCGATGTCGTGGAAATTCTCCTACATCACAAAGCCTATGTGAATGCGCCCGCCGTAAGGTATCGTGGCTTTACGGCCCTTCAAGCTGCGGCTTTTGGAGGCCACCGCCGGATTGTCCGTCAACTGTTAGATGCAGGAGCCGATGTGGATGCTCAAGGCTCATATTATAGCGGGTATACGGCGCTCTCGGCAGCAGCAGAATGCGGCCATGATGAGATTGTCCGGATGTTGCTCGATGCTGGCGCAGATGTCTCCCTCACAACAGGAAATAAAAAGTGGACGGCGGCACAGATTGCGATCTTCCGTGGGCAAGAAGCTATCACGCAAATTTTCCAACAGATTAAGCAGACGGAGAAGATAGTGTAAAGTATTCTTGTATGTAGCACTTTTGTTTGTCCCTGAACTTATCGAGGCTGAAGTGGTCGGCCTCGCCGAAACGGGCAGCGGAGAGTTTTGTCTTTGGTGGCTTGATCAAGTGAATTGGATGAGAAGTTGAATTGTAGATATTCACCCAAATTCTATTATATGGATATAGCTTCGCTCTTGCCGATGGAAATGGCATCTGCCAGTATATCTACATCTTAGCAGTGCAAATATAACAGATTACCTAGGAGACTACATATTCAAATATCATAGACCTTGGTGCTTGATATTACCCCAGAGATTTAGAGACAAATACGAATCACAACTTCTAGCTCTAACCACCGAGTAGACGGCTGATTGTATGTATAATGGCACGGCAACTTCACCTTATATTAAGCTAATGCATAGCGTCGAACATTGTATCATAAACCTTCTTACAAGTTGTTCCCATGACAGCACTTGCTATCCGATAATTCATTTCTTCCAACCACATCAAGATATCTGGCATCTAGGGAACCCCACGATCTATCCACACCCACCTCGGATCGGAAAAGCAAATAATATAGTTCGCAATTAGCAAGCTAATCATCTGTGGCGACAAAAGAAAACTGTAAGAGCACAAAGTTCAATATGCACAGTATAGTGCAGCTAGCGACACGGTTGTGGATAAAGAGGGGCTGAGATCTATCACGCACATTTGAGATCGCGGCCATCGGCGATTGTCTTCCCAATCTGAGGGCTAAATTAAATACGCGTAGCCAGGAAGCAAATAATAGCACCACTCTTGAAAGCTTTTAGCCTGCACTATCACGTACTAAAGCTTTTATCCCAGAGATAGCGTAATGGCCCGTGGTGGACTAGGTGTGAAGCTGATTGGGATCGGCTGAAGAATACCAGATCGAGATAACATCGTGCAGAACATAGATTATCCTTGCCCGATCTGCCTAGCGGAAACTAGATATTGATCAATCATCAGTAGGCCGATTTACTTCTTTGTGGCTGCATAGCTGAAAGCAGCGGTCAGTAGATTTCGTAATAGCTCCATGCATTGCCAGCACATTTCTCTTTCTCTTATTACGTAGGGGTCACCTTGTGTTCGACTATATAAATGTGTGCTTGGAGCTATGATTGCATCTTAACCACTACAATCCTGCTTTTACCCAACAACATTCGACCACTTCGAAACCAAAGCCTAGCTCTGTACGTTTTGCAACCATCTTACATATATACATACATACACGCCCTTAGAAGTTCCAGAGCAACCGTGTCAAGTTCGCTAACAAGTCTTACGTTCAGCAAACAATGGATTTTCAAGGAATATCCAGTATGCACCCCGACCTTCACTATTTCTATCCATCTTCTACAACTCTCATACCGAAATATGTACCCGACTAATAATTTTCAACTTCGTCTAGACTCTTTTGTTCAGCACTACTTCAACACGTTCGATAATGCGGACGCAAGGAACAACTTACTCTCCCTCTATGTACGTCTTAATTCAAGGAACATGGAGACAAGTTGATTATAAAATCTATGGAGGGAAGCTGACGTTGGATTAGCGTCCTGAGTCGATGCTAGTATGGGAGGGCAGCCAACATCAAGGCGCGCAGAATATCATATCAGCCTTAACTGTGAGTTTCTCGTTGTTAAAGGAAACAAGTAATGAACATCCATGACTGACTTGTCACATCGTCTTTAGAAACCCGAGCTGAAGGTTGTGAAGACTATGATCAACACGAATGACGCAACCCCATCCATCAATGGAGGCGTACTAGTGGTTGTTACTGGGAATCTAGCCGTAAGCGATATATCCTATCTACATATAAAAGTGACTATAGCTAATACCTGGTCTTGGATGCAACAGATTGACAATGCGTTTGATAAGCCATTGCACTTTACGGCGACTTTCTCTCTGCAGCCTATACCTGGACAGCCCGGTGGATTCTTCGTCTACAGCCATATCTTCAGGCTTATCCTTTAATAGATAACCTCTATCCTACCAGGGTCATATGGAATGGAAATTCGACAGAATACCTTCAAAAAACCACATTCATTCAAGACAAGAATTAATCATGCTATGATTTCCAAAATGCAAAATAAATCGACCCACTCATCCAACAGGAGAGCAAGACCGACAGGGAATCAAATCAAGACTGTATAGAAAAAAAGGAAAACGCCACAATCAACATATGTAAAACAAGACATCAAGCACATATATAGCGATAGACAGCCAAGACCATCAGGGTATCAACATGATCCGACACCATAAATCAGTTCTTGAACTGATCCTCGGTCACACCCTTACCCATAGCAGCAGTACTGCTCACACCACCAGAAACCATCTTCAGCAGATTATCAACGTAGTTAGCACCACTCCACTTCTGGTGGGTGACAACGTCAACACCCTGCTCCATCTCAGGCTCCTGCACGAGCTCGCCGTAGGCGCGCATGCCGTTCTGCGAGTAAGCCTTCGCGAACTGGTGAGAGATAAGCGCGGTTGTGTGCAATCCAGCCAGGGTGATGAATTGCCACGAGTAGCCGAGAGCGCCGAGACGCTTGATGTAAGTCTCCTGCTCCTCGCGGGGCATGGCCTTCTTCCAGTTGAAGGAGGGAGAGAGGTTGTAGGCGAGTCTAGGGGGGTTTGTTAGTTGAGGTTCTAGTATGACAGGAAACTCAGTGAAAAAAAAAAAAAAAAACTTACTTTTGCTCGGGCCACACGGCGTGAACGCTGTCGGCGAATTCCTTGGCCTGGTTGTAGTCGGGCAGCTTGCTCTCCATCCAGATGAGATCGGCGAAGGGTGCGTATGCGATGGCGCGGTTGACAGCGCACTGGGTGCCGCCCTGGTAGCGGTAGAAGCCCTCGCGGGTACGGGGAGATTCCCAGTTCCAGAAGATGTCGACGCCGGTAAGGTTCTTGGCGATGGCGCGGGATTCGGTGTTGCTCTTGCCCTTGGAGGCAGCGAGGTACTGGTCGATGAGGCTCTTCTTGTTGGCGTGGGAGCCGGCGTTGATGGTGTCGATGACGGCTTCGCTGAAGAGCTTGAGACCGGCCTTGCTGGTCCATTCGTCCTCAATTGCCTGCAGCTGAGCGCCGCTCTTGCCAGCCTGCTCGGCGGCAAACATCAGGTCGTTAAGAGGCTGGATGGTTGAGTTTGTGGAGCCCACGATGAAGGCGTGGTCGCGGTGGTCGATGGTAGATGTGATGAGGGTGGCGGCCTCGGAGTCGGTACGGGCAATGGCCAGGAGGTCGGAGCCCATGATATCGGCCTGGGCACGGATGGCAACCAGGCGGTTGATGTGCTCGCTGATGGGAACGAGGACCTTGCCGGCCATGTGGCCGCACTTCTTTGTGCCGGGGGCCTGATCTTCAATGTGGATACCGGCGGCACCACGCTCGACGAACAGCTTGGTCAGCTTCATGACAGCGGTCAGACCGCCGTGTCCGGTGTCGGCATCGGCGATAATGGGACGCAGGTAGTCGACGTTGGCAACGTTTCCTCGCTGGCCTGCGGGGGTGGTAACGCGCTCCTCGCGCTGTTTACGGTCATGGAAGAGCTGTGCCATGAACAACTGGTTAACCTTGCGGGGCACAGTGTCCTATAGGGTACTTGTAAGTATGCGCCAAATTCAATATCGCCAGTATATTCAACGTACCATGGGGTAATCGGCCAAATCGGGGGAGGGCTCGTCGGTTGACGAAGCGGTAGACGAGCTCTGCCAGCCGGAGACGTAGATAGTATCGAGGAACTTGCACATTTGAGTGATCATGGTAGGCTCAAGACATCCGTAGGTGTAGCTGGCCTGCTTGTTCTGTTCGTCAAGTGTATAGTTAGTATCTATAGAATCGCGGACGGTCGATATATCCCAGCTAAACTTACTTGGAAGTTTGACTCCACAATACCCCAGAGCTTCTTGGCTTGCACATTGGACGGGTAATCGATCTTCAGGTTACCACGCTTGGCCACAATCTGCTCGGCTGTGAAAGGCCGCTTGGTGTAGCGCCACCGAGAGTCCTTCCACCAGTTCTGAACGGCCTGAACGTCCGCCGCGAACTGGCGATCCTCATCTTCGTGGAGACCCATGACTTTTGGTATAATACAGAAAAATGGGTGCAGATATAGTCAAATGGTATATTCAGGCGTGCAGGAAGTGTCACGTCTGTTCAATACTAGTCCAAGTATAGACGGAAAGAAATTGATATAAAAGTAAGAAGGGAAAGGAAAGCTATAATAAAAGAGAAGAACCCGATCACAAGCCAGAGAAAGCCGGGGTACTTATTAAACATTCAAATGCGTCACAGTCGGTAAACGCTCGGCTCACCGGGAGCCAATACCTCCAATGCCTAGGTACTCCAGGACTCTATTCATTCAGGCTCACACAGACTCAACCAATGCACGGGCAAAGCGCTCCGAAAGGCGGAAGGCGGGTACAACTGGTCTCGGAACAGAGGATCCAGGCTCTGATGATCCTCGGTCTAATGGGACATCCCTTTGCCACTGCTGACTTCGCCAAATGTTCCATTGGTATTACAATAATCGGCATCTCACTGGAATGTAGATAGGATTGCATTCCATGTGCTTTTTTTTTCCCTTCTTCCTCTTTGATTGTTCAAGTTGGTATGTATGAGATGATTAATGTTCGTTGAATAGAACCGGATGACGTCGAAGAACACATGCCATTACCGTGGTAATACGAGATATACCATACGGTAATTTTCACGTGCATCACATTCGGAGGTTCTTCAGTTGGGAATAGTCTCAAATAGACTACAAACTCTCAGTGATACTTAGCTATACGTGCTACAGTCCAGCCAATTAGGAAAATCATTACCATTCGGAGAGAAAGACTGTCCAGAAACAATGTCTGCCTGAGTCATCTTTGCCGTTCTGTCATGCCCCGGTATTCGACCGGACTCCACCAGGCAAATCTTCGAGATCCTTGCATTAGGCATTTCTACCGCAATGTAATTTCTTTTATTCGGAGTTTTTCGGGCCTATATGTGATTTTAACTATCTATGCGTATAATAGATGTAGCTCTACGTTGAATGGTCTTGAAACAACAAGCCACACAGTCTAGCCTCTCGGTAATCCTTCACTATTTTGTACACTACGCTATCCGTCTATGCGGATAGATATATTACCACATCCCAGCACCTACACGAGAGCAGACCGGAAGAAATGACACTTCCAAATGACCTGCACATGCATCTATCCAATCGCAAGAGATCCACCCTGGTGATCGAAGAAAAAATGACTCAATACCGCCCTATAAGTTGGACCTCGGCACAACTGAACTCTGCCAAACTAACCGCATACAGCGCCGATAAGGCTAGATCAGGGACTACGGAGTATACAGTAAAAATATCGTCTGGAACATGAACATGAAACAAGGTATCTTTGACTGTGTAAGTGATACACACATCCCTGGTACCGTACTCCGTACTTGCTTATAATCCGACTCGCGTGCCTCCAACGGAAAGTTCCATGGATGAATATTAGATATCAGATAACCTTAGACATGCTTAACAAGACAACCTTGGAACACCACCCACACTCCTCTACAAATATTTCAAAAAGAATACTAAATGACCTAAAAACAAGTTCATACACCCCCCAGTTCCTCAGCCACACCCACGAGAACAACCTCGGGAAAACAAGGGATCACCCAACTCCCCACCCGTCATATTATCGATCTCCTGTCTGTGGAGAGCGCTACCATGACGCCTTCGGGATCTCTGAAGTGCGGTGTTTTCTCGGTCGGGGACGTATTGGTCTGCCGAGGCATCCACCGGCTTATTTTCGATTTGGTTCGGGTTGTGGTTCTGGGGTTTACCCCAGCCAGTCAAGCTGGTTTGGCGGGGTTATCATTTACCACTGTGTAGGGTCCTCGTTTAGTACCATAGACCATGGCATGCACGCAGCATACATCTGCCGGCATATACGGTGAAGCGAGGATACAAGTTGTCGTTCATTCTTTTTTAATTTATTGATATTCTTTTGGCAAAGAGAAAAAAACTTAAGAGTCAAATTGTAACCGAAAACCAACGCTAGACAGTAAACACTGCCTGATGTCCATAATCCAAGATCTTGCTCACTTCTACATGCAATTTTCTATTCTCGTCTTCGTTGCTCACGCCCACATCAACCTGTGCAACAATCTTGACTGTGACGGCAACACAAAATTCAATCAATATGCATCCTGAGCAACGACTGCCTTATGGTACGTCTCATAGGGGGTGATAGTTCCCAACGAGCGTCTCATGTGGGCATTGAGAATCTCCAGCCCGTAAACATAACTGGCATTCACCCAGCCGAATCTGCAATCGAATTAGCATTCAAGTTATTCACAAATGGGAAAAGAACGAGAACATACCCTTCACGCGGAGCTCCCTTGAAGTCCGTGCCCTGATTGCCATACTCGGCATCGACCCGGTGCGGATCAATAGGACGAGTGACATCATACTTCTCCACGACAACGCCGTTGAAGTCGACAAACGCCTTGGTGATCATATAAACCCATTTGTACGCCAGCCGCTCTGCGTCCTCCTGGTAGCCGTAGCGGAGGAAGGCCGTCCAGGCAAGCATCTGCTGTGGCGCCCAGCCATATGGGTAATCCCACTGTCGGTTGGGACGCTCCAAGCCCACAGCGCCCCGCGACTCCTCAGTTCCAGAGACCAAGCCGCCGAATGCTTCGAAGCGGGGCAGGGCCTTTTCAACCATTATAGCTGCTTGGGCAGGGGACGCGAGACCAGCCCACATCGCCCAGAAGGTTGTGGCGGTTTCGTATTCTGTACGCTCCTTCTTGACTGTGTCGTAGTCGAAGTACATGCCCTTCTCGGGGTTCCAGAGGAGCTGGTCCATGCGCTGCTTGCGCTTGCGCGCACGTCGGTCCCAGACTGCAGAGGACTCGGTTTCGATGTCCTGGGTTTGGGGTGTGCGGAACTCTGCTGGGATGGCGAGTTTGTCTTTAAAGTGAACGCGGATGATCCGTGCGATGTCGACTTCATATTTGTACAGCAGGGAGTTGAGGTCAACTGTGGCGAGATTTCCACACACGCCCTCCAATCGGTAGCTGGTGTCGTGGCCGGACTCGCGCACGGCTCGGTCATGCATGAAGTATTCGTCGAGTTTGGGCTCGACTATAGTCCTAGAGTTGTATGCCTTGACGAATTCATCGAAGGTCATTCCGTGCTTCTTGGCGTATGGGCCGAGAATGTGCACGAAGTGAGAGGGCTCAGTCTCTGGTGGCACACCCCAACCCTCGGGGCGATACCTCGATAGACCAGATTCTGGATCGAGGCGAGGTGCGGTGACCCAAACGCTGTTGTACTCCTTGATGGCGGCGAGGACAGCATTGCGCAGGAACTCCTTTGAATCGGGCTCGGTTTTGATTCTTTCATAAACACGCAGTGCCATGTCGGTTAGGAAGGGCGGTTGCGAGCGAGTGAGGTAGTAAGATCGATTTGCGTTGAGGATCTTGCCGTAGTGCTTGATCTCGAAACAGAAATTGACTACCATGCCCTTGGCGAGATCGACACGGTCGCTGACGAGCAGTCCCAAGGACTCCATGTAGCTATCCCAGCCGTACAGCTCGTTGAAACGACCACCCGGCACTACGAACGGCACGCCGACCAGATCAGTCTTCATCGTCGTTTCGTTGAACTTCTCCTCCATAGCCAGTGCAAGGAGGCCAGGCTTGTCGTTGAGTTCCATCACATAATCAGGCGTGATTACAGCCGGTAGCATCTGCACATCAAGGCGTAGCTCGGGGTGTTCTTTCGCAATCCGCTCGTAGTATTCGAACTGCGCTGGAGCACCCGGCGGGATATAGATCCGAGGTCGTGGATCCGCAGTCCAATCCTTGGGGTCTCGACCTGCCACTTCAATGTTGGAGCCATCGATACGCCTTGTGAGAGCCTTCCAGAAGGAGTTCTTGATTAGACGAGAGAGCCGCGCTACAGGATTTTCGCTCAGTCGTGCTTCATCAAGGATAATGTGCTTGCGACCGTAGTCTTTGGCAATCGTAAGCTCTTGGAGGAGGTTGGATAGCATGTATGTGCCCCGTACATCCACTCGTTTATGTCCAGATGATGCTGCAGTCCCGACCGAGATTACCTACAACGATTAGCAGTCGTCCTTGGTGTTTGACACCATCAAGCATACCTTAGGTCCCAAGTCCTCGATGGTGATCTGCATATTCTGATCCGTATCCTCTTGCTTCAAGAGAGCTGCAAGGGTCTCGTCCACCTCGATGAGGAATTTCCGAGGTTGTCCTGATGCCTCATCTGTTCCATTACTGTCAGCTCTTGCACCGAGCTCATATCCAACATATTTGTAATAAGCATACCATGACTACCACGTCGAGATGGCAAGGTTCCAAAGAATTGATTGATGTCATCGCGACTGTAGTCGCTCAGGCCCTGTAAGATCCCAGTCAAAAATAAGCTTGTTGTACCTTCTACCGCGGGGTACCGTCCAAGCGTTATGGCTGCTTACCACTGAGAATGCACGTCTTCTCGACTTGAGTGCATTGAGATTATCCTCCTTGCCATAGTAGACATCTGGATTAGAGAAAGGATCGGTGGAGCTGGAACCAGAACGTGTACGCCCATCTGGCGAGCTCATGATCTGTGTGGCGGAAGAAGAAGAGAGGGCACAATCTGATTTTGAATTGTGCGTTACGCAAGGATGCGTCCACACCGACTATTCCCGATAGTCGATAAACTTAAAGCAGCGAGTACAGGCGCTCCAATGGGCCTGATATAGTATGATGACCTGGGCAATTTGTACTCCAATCGTGCAATCTGATCAGAAAAGTCAGGGGATCCTTGTCCGATGGTTAAGACAGTCTCAGATTCAAGTGACAGATTGAATCTTTAAAGTAGATGTGAGATGGTAGTGATAGAGAAATTGATGCAGAAAAGTGTTATGAACCTGGCAGAGGTGGAAAGGGAATGACGGCATTCACATTGATGATGTCGCCGCTCCACTTATGTTGCCGCTCCAGAGCTGATAAGCCCTTAGATAACAACTTTAGAAACGATTCGAAGGCTCGGAGATGCGATGTATGAAAAAATAGAAAAAGCAAATATAAATACTGCAAATCTTTTCTACAAGTAGTCTGAGGATGACTCAAAAATCAGTCTGCTTGCGGCCTGGACCAATATGGTAACCAGCCATTTATTGGAATGTGGGGGATTCTGTCCCGAATCTCAACGCTTATAGTCCCATCTAACAAAGGAAAATCAATAATGCATGTGCTGACACAGCTATTTATAGACTATACCCAAAGCAACGCAATTCACGCAATTGCTCACAACTTGGCAGAGACGGCACTTCCGCCGTCGAGCGTGATAGTCGCGCCGTTCACAAACGCACCGGCACGGCTACTCAAGAACAAGCAAGCCCCAGCCACATCCTGTGGGGTTCCAATGCGACCCAGGGGTACACCGGCCCTGATAGTATCACCGAAGGACTCCAAGGTAGCGGCCATCATCTTACTTTCGAAAGGACCACAGGCCAAAGTATTAGAGCTGCAAACCGAATCAGTCTCCCATACATCAAATAGAAGCGAACCATAGTAGATATACTTACGTAACGTTTCGCTTGCCCAAATGATTGGCAAGAACCCGGCTCAAGTGGTGCAAACCGGCCTTACTGGAACTGTATGCGAATGTCTCGAGCGAGGGAACACGGAGTCCATCAATGCTGCCGATATTGATGATGCGAGAAGGATCCTCCGGTGTAGCCGCCTTCTCCAGGAGAGGTGTGACGAGCTGGGTCAGGTCGAAGACCCGGTGGAGGTTGAGGGTAAGGACTCGTGTGAAGGCCTCGGAGGGGTATTCATCGTAGGGAGCGCCCCAGTTCGATCCGGAGTTGTTGACAAGGACGTGTAGCTCTAGAGAAAGAAGGTATGTTGTTAGAAATGATATAATTTTTCATTGGATATGGTGCCCTACTGCCTTCGCGCTTGCCCAGCTCCTCAGCCAGCTTCTTCACGTCCTCAAGCTTATAGAAGTTGGCTGGAATGGCATAGGCTTTGCCCTTGCCTAGGGCGTTGAGCTCCTTGGCTGCTTGCTCGCATGCCTTTGCATCACGGGATGAGATGTAGACGGTGGCACCATTTGTTACATAGCCCTCTGAGATCATGCGACCGATGCCTTTGGCTCCACCGGTGACCAGCACCACTTTGCCCTGCGGGCGCGTTAGAATGGTCGGAGAGGTAGAGTATATAGCGATCTAACCTTGACATTGAAAAGACTTGTGGAATCCATTGTGAAATTGTGATTTAGACTTAAAACAACAGAAAGATCAGACAATAAGCTACCTTTGTTACCTCCTCTCGTAGCTCTCCCCGTTGTACATACCCGAGGCCGAGATTACTTGATAGACCAGCCGAGGCACACGGATCTGGAATATCTTTGTACCGATAAATATGCACTAGTCCCCTTTGGGGCTCAACTTAGGGCTGCATCGTCAGGGTTTCGCGGGGTCTCTGCCCAGGTAATCGAGGTGTTTTGGCTGTTCTCGTTCATAGCATATACCCCCTTTACAATAGATTTGTTGATTTTCGTTTTCGCCTCGTTATTTTACAATGGAGGACCTCCTGTCAAAACACCGCAAAGAGCAAAAAGATCTCCAAGGGCGGATCACGCAGAAGAAAAAGTCCGCCACCAAGAAAACCCGCAAAGGAGTCAACGATGAATGCGAACGATTGCAGCGCGATCTGTCCGAGCAACAGCAGGCTGAGATTGCACAATTGAATGGAGACCCGACTGAAGGGCTCGAAGACCTCAGTCTGGAAGATGATCAACCGGCAGAGGACGAAGATTCAAAACAAGACAAACCCACTGAGGAGCCACAAGAAGCAGAACCAACAGCTGAACCCACCCCAGAGCCTTCCTCTGCACCCAACTCAAAAAAGCCAAATCGTCAAAAAGCCCGCCTCGCGCGGCGTGCAGCTGAGCAAGCCGCCCAATCAGCGGCCGCAGCAGAGGAAGCCGCGACGCAAACAAACTACAGAGGCAATGAACAGGAGGTCATGGACGCTGTGTTTAAGAAGCTGGGTCTGAAGGAAGTCGAAGTGACTCCAGATGGGCACTGCCTCTACTCAGCAGTCGCCAAACAGCTGGACGAGTCCGGACTCGGCTTGCGGCCGGACCCAAGCCGAATCGTCTGCCAGCCCGCCACACAGTCACGCATCGACACAGTCGCCTCTCCACAACACGACGGCTACCGAGCTGTTCGAGCTGTGACGGCAGATTTCATTATGGAACATAAAGAGGACTTCGAGGCGTTCATGGAAGAGCCCCTAGAGTCATATACTCGGAAGATAAAATTGACTGCCGAGTGGGGAGGGCAGTTGGAGTTGCAGGCGATTGCCCGAGCATACGGTGTGGAAATCAACGTTGTACAGAAGGATGGGCGAATGGAGAAGATCGAGTCCGGTGACAGCGACAGCTTCGACGAGGAGGAGAAGCGCAAGCGCGTTATCTGGCTCGCATACTACCGTCACACCTACGGGCTCGGCGAACACTACAATGCCCTTGTGAAGAAGTCCTAAGCTACTCAGATCAAAGCAAGCTCATATCTGCCTCGGCCTTTTCAGTCAAGGCTAGACAGTGCAATTGCAGATCTATTTTTGTCATGGGGGTTTTTTGCTAGGTGCTTTTCGGATTTTCGGCAGATCTAGTTACGACGACGCCAGATCGAGACTCGGTCGTGGATCACCCCGTTCTCGCCCTGGCCTACCTCGTGCGTGCGCTCTGGCGTCCAATACGCCACTCTTTCCAAGCCGGCTTTGCTTGGTGCCCGCAGAGGTTCGTGCTTGACGACGCCCTTGGCGTCGTAGGGGACCTCCTCGCCGGGGTGGCTCAAGTGGGCCACGTACGCTTCCGATGGGGAAGCAAATGGGGGCCCTGGGGCTTGGGGATCCTTGTGGCGGGGGAACTCGAGGCAGATCAAGTTGCCTGTTGGCGAAGGGGCCAGAAGCTGGGTCTGTCGGAGCGCCCATTTGGGTCGCATTGACGGATCCAGAGCACAGAAGAACTGCATGATGATTAGCATGAGAACAGTGAACATAGAAACTTGACATATAGACAAATGCAGATACAGCATTCATGTTATCAAATCACGTGTATGTATTCCCGCATTGCGATGAATTTCACATCATAGACAGACAAGCAGTAAAACAAGGAAGAAGGAACCCATACCGTGTAATCATAAATAATATCAAATCCATTCAATGGGACACCAATCTTCTGCAACCAAGCATCGTCGAAAAAGTCGCCCTGAATCCAAGTAACCTTTCCCGCGCCGGCAGTCTCATCCCGGACACGATACCAATTGGCATTATCGTTCTCCTCCTTCTTGCAAGCCTCGACCGCAGCCGCGCTATACTCGAGACCATAGGCATCGTAGCCAAAGCTTGCCAGCAAGAGGACATCCACACCTCGCCCGCAACCAGGAACTAGAGCCTTGCGCCTGTACGACTGGCCCTGTGCGTCGGTTGCGATAGGCGCACCAATTGTCGGGCGCTGCTTGACAAGTGTGTCTTCCAGGGCGGGATTGGGGAATCCCCGGTCCCAGGGCAGATTATCGCCCTTGTCCCAGAGGGAAGCCCAGCCGTCGACGTATTTGTCGCCCTTGTATTGGGCGAGATGGGCCTGTATGGCCTTTGGATTGATGTTGGCCATTGGGACGGTTATATTTTGATCCTTGCTATGGAGTTCACGGGGTGGTTAATTATTCGAATTGGATGCGGTCAAGTTCACCGTCTTTATGCCATGTTTACGGGTATCCAGATCTACCGGGCTTATTAATCACCTCCTTGCAGTGAGGTCCACTTGAATTGAAATTATGATCAGGTGGCGTATAAATATAGATTACACTATTGTCGAGGTAGATCTGTATAAGTGTAGCAGATTCACCGTCGCACAGGATTTGTCCGACAGTATAATGCGGTCCCACCACCTACCACAGTGTAGTATGTCGGTAGCTGGACCACCTGATAGGTGGACCTGGTAGAGGATTCTGGGGTATCTATTGAGACGGTTCGCCAAGGTAACATCCGGGGAAGCAGGGGTAAATCTCAGCTATAAGAGCTAAGATGACCCTACAAGTCTGATTGCGACTGTCAAATGCTTTCTGATGCCATTGGTAAAATGTTTCAGATGTGTCCTATGTTCTATGATAGAACATCTAGACTTGGAGTCTCTAATCTCGGGATAGGCCGCCATTAGGCTTACCGACGGAAGACCGGCACATTCACACTCAACGATGACTGGCTCTATAAGCCGGCGTATATTTTTGCAGGAATCAGCAGGATAGAATGTGCACTAGCGTTGATATGTCGGATATTTATCCGGGCTTGAAGCCTTGCCCAGAATGGTACAAGAGGTTGATATTTTCAGTCACACTCGGTCGCTGTCGGTGTTTGTCGGACAAAAAAAACTTTGAATCTCCAACTGCCTGAAATTATCTATCGCTTTGGTTTTTGAGACACGCAATACATTCAATATACATTCAGGTACAGCATATTTGCAGATCTTGCATATCAGGGGATAGATCGACACTCTTTGCAAGGAAGGTACCCAGGTGTTTATCTCAGGGCTTCCTGTTTTCTATTCAAACACTTGACTTTACTGTTGTAAAGCTTTGTGCACCCTATTCTTTTGGATACAGAGTTATTAGAGTTATTTTATATCCAATTTGGCATTGACTATACCATCACATACTTCCAATATGCACGGCCAATCCGAGACAGATGGCATCGTCGCATGCTCGGAGAGCGGAGAACATCCGACAACCATAGCCGACACAAAGTCAGAGATCGATAATGATACCCACTCCCTATCGGGTGCCTCCAGCAATACCGCCAACGAAGAACATGACCCAGAGAATCCTCCACGCCTAGAGCGCCAGTTGACCGAGCTTGGTCCTCCCATCAAGGTTGCCCGACTCAAGCGCAGAGGCTTGTTCGGTCAGTTGGCGTTGGTGGCAGAGGTTGAAAACCCGAAGACATACCCTCGCAAAATGAAATGGTTCATCACATTTGTCGTCGCTCTTGCTGGAGCCACAGCACCAATGGGCAGCGCCATCTTCCTCCGTGAGTCTCCAATCACAAATTGGGTATACATCTAATCATCTCTAATCAATCTGTTACCAGCTTCACTATCACAAGTAACCAAGGAGCTGCACACGACAACCACCATCACTAATCTGTCAATCGCATTGTACATGCTGGCCATGTCGATATTCCCATTGTGGTGGTCATCATTCAGCGAGCGACTTGGGCGACGGACCGTCTACTTGGCGTCTTTTACTCTCTTTGTGGTCTTCAACTGCCTTTGCGCCGTCTCGAGTTCTATCGGAATGCTGATTGTAATGCGAATGTTGAGTGGTGGAGCTGCTGCTTCTGTCCAGGCGGTTGGTGCTGGCACCATCGCCGATATCTGGGAATCCAGGGAGCGAGGACGGGCCATGGGTATCTTCTATCTAGGCCCTTTGTGTGGACCCTTGTTTGCACCCATTATCGGTGGTCTTCTAGCTCAGCGTTGGGGATGGCGAAGCACCATGTGGTTCCTCTCGGCATTTGGTGCTCTCACTCTCATATTTATCCTGTTTGCCCTTCCTGAGACGTTGATGGTGCAAAAACCTGTGTTTGCTGAACTTGAGGATGACGAAGACCCAGCTATCAGCCGCCCGTTGAGTCGAGTCTCGTCGCAGCAGGTTGCTCGGTCCACCGCAAGGTGGCTCAAGACGATGAAGATGATCTTCATTGATCCGCTCAAAATCATTCTCTACCTTCGATTCCTCCCCGTCCTTTTCACTGTGTACTATGCTAGTATCGCATTCGGTTCCCTCTATGTTCTCAATATCAGTGTTGAGCATACCTTCGCAGAGGCGCCATACAACTTCTCCACCATCATCGTTGGCTTGCTGTACATTCCAAACTCGCTGGGCTACATGGTGACCAGTATCTTTGGAGGCAAATGGATGGACAGCATCATGCAACGGGAGGCGAAGAAGGCAAATCGATACGACGAGAAAGGTAGACTGATACTACGACCAGAAGACCGAATGCGTGAGAATGCATGGCTTGGTGCCTTCATGTACCCGGCAGCCTTGATCTGGTATGGTTGGGCGGCGGAGAAGGGAATTTTCTGGCTTGTTCCGGTATGTCAACTCTCATATAGTCCCCAGGAGATGTAAACCAGTTTCACTCGCTAACTCCGACACCACAGATGATTGCCAATTTCTTCTTTGGTATGGGCTCCATGCTCATTTTCAGCATGGTAACCACCATGCTCACCGAGCTTATGCCGAAAAGGTCATCGGAAGGTGTAGCTCTCAACAACTTCATGCGAAATATCTTCTCCTGCATCGGTTCTGTCGTCACTGCTCCGATCATCGGTGCCATTGGCAATGGGTGGCTCTTCACCATCCTCGGCCTTGTCAGTTTCGCAAGCAGCTCCGTCATCTTTCTGATGAGAGTCAACGGCCCAAAGTGGAGAAAAACTATGGACGCGCACATGCGGGCATGAGTCGTTTCTGACCGGCATTACTAAGTTGCATTATATCCATCTCCGGTGTTGGAGCATATTTTTACATTAATTTCTAGAGAGGTAACGATCTGGGCATACCATACATAGTTGGTGCCAGTGACAACCTGTCTCTGTTTTGCACATACGCCTCACGAAATCAAAATATCCATACCTGATTCTGTCTCTTCATGTTGAGCCGCTCTCTGTCACTTTTCTGTTTTTTTTGCTCGTCTGTCTTTTCTCAAACCAGCTGTTTCCTCCAGGATCAGATCCGTCTAATCAAAAATGATACCCATTGTGAAGTGAAATCCATGTCATGATAACCTAAATATGCCCTCACCAGGCTACAATAATGTCCATATGCTGTGTACAAGTAGAAGGTATTCATCTAGGAGGGCTCCGTTGCATATATGCCCTGCCGACATAAAAAATGTCTGCATGGTCTCTTGATTTGCCCAGTCAAGCAGCCTTCCCTAACCCAATTCCATTGTTGGTCGCTTAATCTCAAATATCTAACGCCCAAGTCCTACAGTCTGTCCCGCCAAAATGCCCAAATTGACTCTTCTCGGGCACGTAAGCATACCCATCTGTGCGATTCAATCAGGTGTTATCATGTCTTTTTTGGTAGTATCTTTGGTATAACATAGTTCTTTAAGATAATCGCCCCCCCCCCCCCCCCCCCCCCCTTTATTGGTGTTAGCCGCAAAATATAGATACATATAGTGAAAAAAGTGAACCAGTAATGCAAAGCTTCTATCTCATGGGACACCTCCCCCCGAATTTTGAGAAGTACGCTTCTCCGAGGGGCATTCAACCTGTGTTCTGGTAATTGCATATGCCAAGTTGATACGTATAACATCTTGCGTATTTGTGTTATCGTGCATACTATCAAGGCCTAGCCGCACTATACCAAGTATTGGTCGGTCGACGATGGCATATTTTAGTCGAAAGAGCAGGTCCTTTAATCGTCAAGGCTAATTGATTACGTATGATGAGGCCCGCAATGTTGCTCCTTGCCTACATAGATGCCCCTCAATCTCTCCTCCGTACGGAGTATGTATAGAAAAGGATATAGATCTGAGTAAGACTGCACGTATTAATTCACCTGCATGAAAAGAAAAACAAGGCAGCCAATCAGACCTTTGTCACGCCATATTCTTGACTAGCCAGCACTTCTAGCGAACATTCGATGCATCCGTGAGAGGAGGGGAGATCGCCGGGACACGGAGTAGAGGGGTTTATGTGCTGGACTTACCAGGGTCTACCCCGTGAACAATGTATGTACTTTCTAAGCGATATTCGCGCTCTCCCATTGCCGACCAGACAAGCCCTCCGATGGGGGTTTTTTTCTTTTCTTTTTCTCATACGGATCACTCTCTAGCAGATCCGATGCCGGCAATATCCCTACCAAGCTATACTCATACGACCTATCCATTCGCTAGTTGCAATCTCAAATATAAGACATCGAAGAAAGTTTATTAACTTCGAGACCTCTCTTTTCCGATCGGCATATTCCTTTCAAGTGCATGGGTGACAAAGGAACAGCTTGGCAAAAAAAAGGAGCGATCTTTATGCCCATCTATAGAGTCCAAGAGTATAAGAGTCCAACGTATTCAAAAAGAACTCAAGAAACTTGGCCCAATTCCAAGAATAGAAACCAAGCCATCAATCATGTTTACAAATGCGATTAGTTCACCTCGAGGGCCGCTATTTGCTAACAACACGCAACACGGCATGGATGCTCGGCCCGCTGCATGGAGTTGGGTACATAGACGACCCCATCTAGTGATTTGGCTGAGGACTTGTATCAGGAAGTACAACATATCGGGAATGGCACGAGAAGTCAGCGCCGAGGTGATTCGCTAGAAAAGAGAAAAGCGGCCTGGGTATGCATGCAGCTCTTTTTAGACTCGAGCGTTGGCTTTTGTACCTATCTGTACCATTAGGTACATTAAGTTGAATTGAACACATATGCCATTTTGAAAGAAGAGGATCCCAGTGACGAAGCCGTTGTAAGACGACACATCGGTCAGATAGCCGTGGGGTCTGTTAGTGCGGACCAAGTTGAATGCAGCAATTGGCGGACGTGTTGGTCTAGGAGTGGTTGGTATTGACGCGAAGATCACATAATGATCGGCTGTACTCCGTACTCGTTATAGGTGGAATGGAAATATGGGAATATTCGAATGTAGCAGAGGGAGAAATTGATGTCCAAGTCCCCATGTGCAATATCACCTGACCCCAAGAAACTCCGTGTTCCGCCATTCCTCTCCCTTTGACTCCGTACTTCGTACAGTTGATGCAGTCCACGTTGTTTAACTGCATATTACATCACCATTCCAACTGCTGGCTCCCTTACAGTTGAGTGTCACAGAAAAGTGTCGGGCGATTGACTCTGAAGTGTCGGTGTCGTGTCTGGTGTCGAAAGTGGAGATTCAACTATCCACGACTCCATCAGCTCCATCAGCTCCAACTTCATTCCCAACCACCCCGTTTCACAGTTCCAGTTTGATTCAATGATGCAAAATTTTGCTAGAAGTCCAAATATTTGCCCCCCAGCACCGAATCCCTTTCGAGGTTAATTACCCTGGTCTCCCCCACCCGCGGTGTACGCCTGCATCCTATTTGCCGCCTTTACCGGGGGACGTTGGGCAGAAATGGGCCTGCATCACCTTTGCGTCGCCATTGATTTCCCTACTGAAACATTGCCTTCGTGGCTTTGTGTACACCTGCGAAGTTCCCTTGGGCCAATTCATTTCTATTCTCATCTATGTGTTTGCGTGTAGTATTCAGGCCCAAAAGCAAACCAAAACAAAAAAAAAAAAACCAAGTCAATTCAATTCAATTCATTCGTGGCATCCACCCCACTTTAACAGACCCAGTTACTCCATACTACTGCAGCACTACCTTTCCTATCTTGATCGATGTGCCCCCCAATCCCCAATCCCATCTCGCCATTTACTGCTTGGTGCTGCAGCTACTCCTGCAGGTGGGGATCGTGCTGCTCTCACCCGGCCCTAAACAAGCAGCGGACCTCACTAAACCTCATATCGGTCCTGGAGATGGAGACCCAATGACCGACGTGGCCCAATGACAATTGACTCCATCGGGCAGTTCATTGGTGACGTTCAGAGCCCAAGACCGTAATGCACTTTGTTGTCGTCCCATCCGACCGCATCGGAGACGAACTATTATACGCTGCCTCACCATGATTGTCCAATGCGACCTCTGTGTCACCAGAGAAACAAGCATATCCTTCCTTTCCCTTTTAGTACTCTAATACAGGAGGTACCCTGCCCAGTCTCACACTTCTCAATTGTCCATATTTTGTATCTTTTGTTCCTCGATTTCCCTTGCCGCCCCATTCTTTCCGTGCATCCAGCCCGACAAGCCGGCTTGTCACTTTCCTATTGTTCCGATTCTCGTCACATCACGCGCCAGTCAGCCTCGCCCAGGCTTCGATATATGATACGTCATTGACCCGGGATCATGGCTGGTAAGAGTAAGAAGAAGTCCAAGAACAATAAAAACAATAACAATCGCCCTCCCGTCGGTTCTGCACCAACCCCTGAACCCGAGAACAAAGACCTCGTCGACTCTGCCCCGGACCCGGCGGCGGCCGCTGTTGAGGATGTCTTACAAGTATGCCGACCTCTCTCCGTACTCATATCAATCGTTTCAACGTCAATATTCAACCTTTGATTATGAGACTAAAACTTTCCAATATTACCCTGTCACCTATTCAACGACCGATCTGACCGAGGGCCAAAACCAGGACAACAAAGAGCCCACCGCCGAACCGGAGAAGGACCCTGCCTCTGAAGATCCCCCTGCCGCTGAGCCAAGTGGCGATGACAGTCCTGCTGCCGAGCCTACAGGTAAGTAAATCTTTCTATAGACGATAAGGTCTATCGTCGAAGAATCCATGTTCTACTTTTTTTTACCTGGTATTGACATACAATGCTCAGATTCCGCAGAGGCTGCACCACCAGCCGAGTCTCAACCCGACGAGGCTGCCCCAGAAGCTAAAGAAGAGGGCAAAGATGAGCCAGCGCCAGATGCAGAGAAGTCCGACGAGGCTTCCAAGGAGGCTGCCGTAGAAGACGCGAAGCCCGCAGAGGATGCGAAACCTGACGACGGTGCAGCGCCCGAAGGCGAAGCAAAACCCGACGGCGGAGCAAAGCCTGACGAGGAAGCAAAGCCCGATGGCGACGCAAAGCCTGAAGAGGATGCAAATGCAAAGCCTGAAGAGGACGCAAAGCCTGAAGAGGACGCAAAGCCTGAAGAGGACGCAAAGCCTGAAGAGGACGCAAAGCCTGAAGAGGACGCAAAGCCTGAAGAGGACGCAAAGCCTGAAGAGGACGCAAAGCCTGAAGAGGACGCAAAGCCTGAAGAGGACGCAAAGCCTGAAGAGGACGCAAAGCCTGAAGGGGATCCAAAGCCCGAAGACGACTCAAAGCCTGACGACGAATCTAAACCCGAAGGTGGCGCAGCATCCGACGACAGTGCGACGCCTGAAGAGGAATCAAAACCTGAAGACGAATCAAAGCCCAAAGAAGATTCAAAGCCCGAAGATGCAAAAGATCCTCCAGCAGATGGAGACATGAAAAAAGAAGGCGATAACGGCAACAATGGTTAGTATTCAAACTTACATTGAATCTCACGAAGCTGACAATATCTAGATGATGACTTTCCAGATTTTGATCTAGATGTAGATCCCGAGGCCGTAGCAGCCGAGAAAGAGGCTGCTGCTAAAGCGGCCGCCGAAGACGCCCTAGAGAATGCAGAATCAGAGCCAGTCGTGGAGGAGCCAAAGGCGGAGGAAAAGGCAGCGGGCAAGGCTAAGAAAAAGAAGGGCAAAAAGGGCAAGGGCGGCAAACCAGCCGATCCAGAGCCAGCGCCAACACCGGAGCCGGCAGCAGAGCCAACACCAGAACCAGCGTCAGAACCAGCGTCAGAGTCAACTCCAGAGCCGGTAGCGGAGCCAGAGCCAGCGCCAGCGCCAACGCCGGAACCAGAACCCGCGACTGAAACAGCGCCAGAGCCTGAAGCTGAAGCCGAAAAGCCCGCAGATAATCCCCCTGAATCTCCAGTCCCGGAAGAGCCAACAGCGCCCGAGCCACCCGCAGAGGAGCCAGAGGCAGAGGCAGAGGAAAAGTTGACGGGTAAGGCTAAGAAAAAGAAGAATAAGAAGGCTAAGGCGGCCAAGGCAGCCGCCGAAGCAGCGCCGGAGCCTGAAGCATCACCCGAGCCAGCAAAGGCACCACCAGAAGAACCTGAACCTGCTCCACCTACAGCAGCTGAAGAAGAGAAGGCACCCGAAGAACCTCTCAAGGAATCAGAGCCGGAAGCTGCGCCAGTTGAGGAAACACCTGCTGCTGAACCCGAAGCTGCTGTGGAGGACAAGGTGGAAGCTGTAGAGCCTGAACCAGTCGAGGAAACTCCTAAAGCGGCACCCGTCGAAGAAAGCACTACAGCCGAGCCTGAGCCCGAACCAGTCAAAGAGGCCCCGGTGGAAGTTGAAGTTCCCGCCGAGGTGGTAACCGAGGAACCTGCTGCCGAGAAGGCACCTGAAGAAGCGGCACCAGCTATTGCTGAGCCTGACCCCGAGCCTGCTGCTGAACCTGCTCCCGAGCCAGTCGTAGAAGCTCCGGCCGATCCTACTCCCGAGCCTGTGGCTGAACCTGCTGCTGAACCCGTGGTTGAAGCTGCTGCTGAGCCTACCCCAGAACCTGCTGCCGAACCTGTTGCTGAGCCAGTCGTGGAAGCTCCGGCCGACCCTACTCCAGAGCCTGCTGCCGAACCTGCTGCTGAACCCGTGGTTGAAACCCCTGCTGAGCCTACTCCCGAGCCTGTGGCTGAACCTGCTGCTGAACCCGTGGTTGAAGCTCCTGCTGAGCCTACCCCCGAACCTGCTGCCGAACCTGCTCCCGAGCCTGTCGTGGAAGCTCCTGCTGAGCCTGCTGCTGAGCCCGTGGTTGAAGCTCCTGCTGAGCCTACCCCCGAACCTGCTGCCGAACCTGCTCCGGAGCCCGTGGTTGAAACTCCTGCTGAGCCTGCTGCTGAGCCCGTGGTTGAAGCTCCTGCTGAGCCTACCCCCGAACCTGCTGCCGAGCCTGCTCCGGAGCCCGTGGTTGAAACTCCTGCTGAGCCTACTCCCGAGCCTGTGGCTGAGCCCGCTGCCGAGCCTGTTGTGGAAGTTCCTACTGAACCTACCCCAGAACCTGCTCCCGAGCCTGTCGTGGAAGCTCCGGCCGAGCCTACTGCTGAGCCCGTGGTTGAAGCTCCTGCTGAGCCTACCCCCGAACCTGCTGCCGAGCCTGCTCCGGAGCCCGTGGTTGAAACTCCTGCTGAGCCTACTCCCGAGCCTGTGGCTGAGCCCGCTGCCGAGCCTGTCGTGGAAGCTCCGGCCGAGCCTACTGCTGAGCCCGTGGTTGAAGCTCCGGCCGAGCCTACTCCCGAGCCTGTGGCTGAGCCAGCTGCTGAGCCCGAACCTGCTGCTGCCCCAGAACCAGCGGTTGAGGCACCTGCTCCCGCCCCGGTAGAAGAGACACCAGCAGAAGCCGTAACAGAGCCGGAAGCTGTGCCTATTGAGGCATCAAGGGAGATTCCAGATGAAGTACCTGCTGATGAGCCAGTGCCTGAAGAGCCAGCTCCAGACGAATCCCCGATTGAACCGCTAGTTCCGGAAAGAGTCCCAGCTGAGACACCAGAGGCCGATGCGGCTGCAGTCCCAGCTGAGACTCCAACGCCCGAAGAGGCATTGCCTGAGACACTGCCAGAGGAGCCAGCCCCTGAGCCAGAGGCTGCCAGAGACCTCCCCGCCGAAGACCCACCAGCAGAACCAGAAGCTGCCCCCGAGCCAGTCTCAGTCCCCGCTAGCGACGAAGTGGCGCCCGACGAGCTCGTACCACCCCCAGTAGACGGCCCGCGTGAGGTGGAGATGATCGACGCCGAGCCTCTAAATGAAAGCGCAGAAGCCGCAGCAGCTCGCCACAGCTCCCGACGCCGTAGAAAGCGCACCTCGCCGATCGAGGGAGAGCGTCGGCAGTCCAAGACATCTTCCGAAGGCCGTCGGGATCAACTCGAGCGCCAGAAAAGCGAGCGAGGCGTCTTCACCAACCGATGGGCGAAAGCACTGGAAGAAGCTCGACGTCAACACGACGAGAAATCCCAGATACAACGAAAGCAGCGCGCTCTCGCCGAGGAGCGAGAGCGCAGCGGTATCCCTGTCCCCGAAAAATTGAAGCGCACGAAGAGCTCCTCCAAGGAGAAGGAGAGGGAGAGGCCAAGGGAGTTAGAAATGGAGCCCGAAGTGATCGAGTCTAGATCCAAACGCCGCACCTCCGACACTCCCTCGAGCCAACCCCTCGAACGAGCCCGCTCAACCCGAACCTCCTCATCGAAGCAGGTAGCAACATCGGTACCAACGCCCAAGCCTCGTGCCTTCCTGCGATACATGACAGAAGGCAAGTCGGACACCAATGGGCCTTTGCTACGTCTGAATGCCACCAAGGCTGCACCGCCCATTGAAACGCCGCGCCGGTCATCGGGAAGTCATAGCAGTGGCAGCCGTCACGAGCACGAAGATCGGCAGTCTAATGGTCGATCTAGTGGATCACGATCGCGGCGCGAAGAGGAGGCTCCTCGCAGTGAGCGTGTTGAGCGCACTGAGAGCAGAAGATTGCGACGCTCGTCAACAGCTGAGCATGGTCGATCCAGGGAGGAGAGGAGGGAGAGAGACAGAGGGAAAGATCGAGATCGGGAGAGAGAGAAGGAGAAGGAGCGCGAGCGCGAGCGTGAGAACGAACGCGAACGCGAAGGGGAACGCGAACGAGAAATAGAGGGAGAGAGGGAGAGGGAGAAGAAGCCTGAGGGCTCCTCCCGGCGGTCCAGGGAGTCAAGAGAGGTGCGCTCTCATCGTCGCCACAGGCGTGAGGAATCGCCTCCCCGAGAGGAGTCGAAGCTGAAGGGTTTCTGGAGAGCGATTGCTGCCCATTGAGACCTTATACATTGTTTTGCGTTTTTGATTTGCTTCTATTCACTTTCAACCTTGTCTTTTACTTTATCGGGGTGGTTTGTTGGACAGAATGATCTATATGTGACAGTATATGCTTGATGAGTTTGTGCTTCCAAGATTGCATTGGGGAGCGAATCATTGCAGGAGTTTGTTTTTTTAGCCAGATTTGACTCTATGCATCAACTTGACAAGGATTTTGAGTTCATCATTCGCAGATCTCTCATAGCTTATTTGAGGCCATCTCGAGACTATCGTAGTATCTGTCTAATTTGACTCCCTGACATCAATCCCATCATTCGTGTCATGTCTCATGATCTATGTCATATGCAAGGCCAGTATTTTCGCCAATGACATCAGTCGTAAAGAGTAGAAAGGTTGCTCAAGCATCAAATGCAACATGCAACATGCAAAGCCCTAAATCAGACAGTCCAAATAAGCAAAATCAATCAAGCCAGCTCGCTCTGCGCCGGAATCACCCTAGAACACCACCCACACCAACCGCGATATAAACCCTTTTCCTCCCTCTCAAGATAATTCCCCGTCTCCCTCTCATCCTCATACTCAACAACACAAGCACCAACATGAACCCTCTTCTTAGACTTATGCTTCACAACACCACCCAACCCAATAACCTCCTGCCTGGAATACCCGGGCTCCTCATCATCATGGGTATCTGTCGAGACACCAGCCCCCTCATGACCAAACGATGGAGGAGCCGCATGACTCTGTTCAGTACTACTAGTGTCAGACCCAGATCCTTCATCAGCCTCACAGTCAACCTCAAGCTCAATCTCCTGCGCAGCAAGGCAGCTCTCTCCACGTCCACACTTAACGCCATGGGAGCCTTCACCAATACCAGTACCCAGTCCTCCGCCGAGATACGTGCTGTAGCGCGTGCGCCATGCCCAGACACGACGGTATGTCGTGTCATTACTGCGCAGCGTCATTCCACACTGCGTGCACAGCCAGACGGCTTCCTCGCAATTGCATGGGTTGCGCGCGAAGGCAATAGCCGCGACGCTGTTCTCATCCCATGGCTCGGGGTTGTGCGGATCGGTGGATGGGTAGGAGAGGTGGGAGGAGAGTGGCGCTGATCCGCATGGTGCGCAGAGGCGACGGATACGGTTTTTAAGTGCTGGCTTAGAAGGGGGTTTGATTGTGCAGTTCTGCAGAATAGGTTTAGCGATTTAGTCTTTGTTCGGGGGAACGGATTTGGCTTACTCTGCATACAAGCTTTGCGCAGCGTCGACATTCGCCCACCATGTCGCGCGCGCATTTGGCCACTTTCCCGCGAGTCATACGGGTATGCTCGCCACTGGGACGGCTTAGTAGTCGTATAACTGATTTGACGCTGTCTGGGAGGACAGAGCCGCTGTCTAGCATCTCTGCTAGGGTTTCGATGTATTCATTCTCGCATCGGAGAGTCTCTCTCACTAGTTGGTGGCGGAAGGGTGCCAAGTTCACATGAAACTGGCGACATGTATTCGAGAGGGCGTACAGGGTATTCAGGTCGATGGCGCGAGCTAATTCTTTGACGATGCTGTAGGGTGATGTGTTAGCTGGGTCTGGATATTATTTGCCGTCGGGAAGGCAAAGACATACGGGTAACAACTCAAAGCCGCGGAGAACCCATTTCGATTGGGGTTTAGGGTCTCCTCAGTCGTTTCATTCGGGGAAGACGATGCGGGTAGTTCCGCCGACTCCGACGTGATGGGGTCAACCATCAAAGGGTATGGATTCTCCAAGAATGCCGATCCATCTGCAATTGCATCGTCGAGGTCGACAAATACCACCATGCTGCTCCATCAGAGGCCTTTTTCTCAAGATTTCATCAGATATGGTATAGTTCATGAGGGGAACTGAAGGGGGATTAATTGGTACTCCGAAGACCGGGGCGGTGAGTTAATCATCATCCCGGCTATCTTGACTCTTCGACTTGTCCTTCAGCCTGATAGAGAGATGCGTCATACCCTCCCCGGTATCTTTGACCGAGGTTAGGGAGCATCCATGACTCCGAGATATATCCGATATATATAAGTTAAGCCCCTTTGTCTCCTAATCAGGAGCTTATACCTTTACAGCGGATTCTCGAGCTTTTCATTTTGGTATATGCTCCAACATATATGTATTTAGTAGGGCCCTCTTAGGAGGCTTAAATAGTCCGGGGAATCGAGTCTCTCCAGGGCTACACATGCAAGTACAAAAGTAGGTGGACCCCCAAACGAAGTGGATATTTATATCAGGTAATCATAAGGTTTACAAAAGGTTGGAGTCATCCGTCAACGCAACTTCCCCCAATCAAAAGTCGTCGACCTTTTTCTTTGTGACCTGGAGAATTGGTGGGGGTTAATAAGCATATATCTCCCCCCCGGGGCCCTCATATATCCCCATATCCCCCACCATCCCACTTCTCTATCATCCAAGCCATGCCACTCAACGCCAAAGCCGTATACACCCGCTCGAATGCGGACTATGTCCCATTTGCTAGTCGACGGAGTACTGTCCACAGCACCAAGGGAATCATATCATGCAGTCAACCACTAGCCGCTGCCGCGGGTCATAAGATCTTAAGCCAGGGTGGAAACGCAGCGGTATGAACCTTGTTCGATTCTATGTGTCGTATTGAACTTCAATACTGACTTTGATACTCTTGTTTAGGATGCTGCTGTTGCCGTGGGTAAGTCTTGCCTCTCGAGTTGCCTAATCACAGCAAACAATGAATTAATCTCACGCTTCGACAGCCGCCGGACTCAACATGACTGAGCCCTGCTCCACGGGTATCGGAGGTGATATGTTCTGTCTCTTCTACAATGCCAAGACAAAGAAGGTGCATGCGCTGAATGGCTCTGGTCGGTACCCTGGTAGTGCTAGCTTGGAGAAAATCCGCAAGGACCTCGGTCTGGCACCTGGCCAGCCGGGCAACATGCCTATGTTGAATGCTTTAGCTGCGACTACGCCTGGAGCGGCGGCAGGATGGGTTGATACAATTGAGAAGTTCGGCAGTGGTAAGTTATCGCTCGAGCAGATTCTACAGCCTGCTATTGAGCTGGGAGAGGAGGGGTTCCCTGTGTCGGAGCTTTCGTCTCAGGGTGTAAGTACTCGATGTCCAATCGCAATCGTACCGTGACCTAACCCGCGCACAGTGGAATGACTCTGAGAACGATATCCGCAATGCATCTCCTAATTTCCGCGAGATGTTGAAAGTCGATCCTTCAGCCAAAGATGGTGTCCGAGCCCCGCTTCCAGGCGAGATCATGAAGAATCCCACTCTGGCCAAGACCTTCCGCGCGCTCGCGGCAGGGGGCAAGAAAGGATTCTACCAGGGCCGGATCGCAGAAGCCATCGTCAAGGTGGTCCAAGATCAGGGCGGCTATATGTCACTCGAAGATCTAGCCTACCACGCCGAGATCGGGACCCAGGAAGTCGACGCAATCTCACTCAAGTTCACCGGCCAGGACATCGTCTCCAAAGCGACACCCGGCACAGAAGGCGAAGCCAACCAGGGCGTCGAGATCTGGGAGCACCCACCCAATGGCCAGGGCATCGTGGCACTAATGGCACTTGGTATCATGGAGGAACTCGAGAAAGCGGGCAAGATCCCCAAGTTCACCGAGGCCCAGCATAACTCAGCCGAGTACCTACACGCCGTGATTGAGAGTCTGCGCATCGCCTTCGCCGACGCAGGCTGGTGGGTCACAGACCCAGACGTGGAGCGCGTGCCTTCGCAGGGCCTACTCGACCGCGCATACCTCGCAGAACGGGCGAAGCTGTTCACACCCGAACGCGCAGCAGATATCATGGACCACGGCAGTCCAGCACACAACCACTGCGACACAGTGTACTTCGCAGTAACGGACAGTGAGGGCAACGGTATCTCTTTCATCAACAGCAACTACGCTGGGTTCGGAACGGCCATCATCCCTGCTGGCTGTGGCTTCACGCTGCAGAACCGTGGTGCCAATTTCTCGCTGCAGGAAGGTCACCCTAACGTCCTGGCCCCCCAAAAGCGACCATACCACACTATCATCCCCGCTCTTATCACTAATATCGCCGATGGCTCCTTGCACTCTGTTTACGGTGTCATGGGTGGCTTTATGCAGCCGCAGGGTCATGTGCAGGTTATGCTCAACATGCTTGCCTTTGGTTATCATCCCCAGGCAGCGCTCGATTCGCCGCGCTTCTGTCTTGCTGCGCCGACGGATGAGAGTACTGACCGCACGGTGTGGGTTGAGGAGGGTATCAGCGACGCTACTGTGGAGGGTCTGCGTGGTCTTGGTCACAAGGTTGAGGTGTTGACTGGTTGGAAGCGGGCTATGTTTGGTCGTGGCCAGATCATTCGCTCGTACTACGATGACGGGAAGATGGTTTACGCTGCAGGCAGTGATCCTCGAGGCGATGGGATGGCGTTCCCTTTGCTGTAGGTATGTTGAGAATGATGGGTATCAAAATTCAATTGCAGACTATGTACATAGTTAAAGTGATCATATCAGGAAACCCAGACTGTCTACTTTACTTTTTTCTGTTTCTCTTTTTTATTTTTTCTTTAAACATCTTCATATCTGTTTCGGATCCCTTTACGGAGTACCGACGTACAAGTCTCGATGCGATCTTAATCCCTACAATATAGGTAAGGCATTCCCCCAGCCATCACCTACACAAACTACATCAGTATACATCCATCACAACACCACTCGGTACTTCACACTCCACAACAACCGCACAATTCAACCCCAACCACCAAAATAAAGAGCAACCGCACATCATCACTCAAGCAGGCAAGTCCGATCGAAAGCCTAAGGCCTTCAAAAAGCCGCGTGACTCAAGAACCCCTGATCGACACGCCAGACTTACCGTGCCCCACAGCCGAATCCGCGACAGCTCGCCAAAGCAGACGGTTCTCGGTCTCGGTCCGGAGTACTCCGTCAAAAAAAAAAACAACATTCACCATTCTTACCACAAGAAAAGATCGTCAATATACGAAG